TATTATATGTACACTACAGGTTGAGTATCTTTATCCAAAATGCTTGGGACCATGTTTCAGATTTCATATATTTTTGAATTTTTAAGTATTTGCTTATACATAATGAAATATCTTGGGAATGAGACTGAAGTCTAAACATAAAATTCATTTAGTTTTATATGCACTTTATACACATAGCCTGAAGGTAATTTTACAAAATATTTTAATAATTTTTTGCATAAAACAAAGTTTGTGTACGCTAGACCATCAGAAAGCAAAGGTGTCCCTATCTTAGCCACCCATATGGACAATCAGTAGCATCAGGTCAGCACTCACGTTTCAGTTTTCAGAGCATTTCTGATTTGGGCTTTGTATTACTATTTGGCGGTTTTAAACATTGGACAATTTTTAGTGTAGTTCATGGACTATTTAAAATATTATCAGTAATTTTTAATATATGGGATTTTGCACTATAGCCTAACTGCAAAGCATATCACCTAACTGAGATGTGAATAACTGTATTTTACCAGTTCAGTGGAACCAATCAATGAGGAATTCCCACAGTGACTTAAACCCAGTGTCTATGGCTTAGAACTATTGGACACCACTCAAGATTAACTGCGAGCAAGAAATCTAAGCAAAATTCCCTGCCTAGTCTTGGAATGCAATAAGTTAGATCTGAGATTTAGATTTCTGTGTTAAGCAGGCTCTGAAATCACCTCTATAGCAATAATTACATCACTCAATATTGCCAATACTCTAATTGTTAACAGCAGTAAGTTGTAAAGATTTTGCTAAGCAGAGGTTTGCTAAAGTAATGAATGTCCTGTGATCCAGTTCTCATATTTGCAAAATAAAGAAGAGACTATCTTCTATATACTCTGACAGTAGAAAAGCTCAGTAGTATATATGAGCCTTCTCTTGAAATTCACTCTTAGTTTTATTCCATGGAAATGTGGGTTTCAATCCACCTACATTTCCACATTAGGAAATACAAAGAAAGAAGTTACGAAATTGTTAAACTAATAGGTGGAAATAGCTCAGAAGTATCCTAAGAGGACTTGTGAAGAAAAATTGTATTGAGAAAATTATAACTAGGAAAGAAAGGCAGTCAATCACATCAGTGATAATTAGACCTCAATTCTGAAAACTATGGATGACTATAAAAAGCGCAGAAGAAAATCTTCATGGTGATGAAAGGTTTGATAAAAAAGAACAATGACTAGAAGCTCAAGCAATTACAATTCTTCACCTACAGAAACAGAGAGAACCAGCCACCTTGGCCAAAGGAACATCTGGCACACATAGAGGTGAACTAATTTAACTCTCTTTCAACCTAAGGACAGCAGAGGCAGCAATTACTTGACTTAACTTACAGTAACAAAAGAAGACAAATGAAAAGGAAGCATGAATGACCTGGCAGTACAGGTGAGGCTAATAGGAAGAGTTGTTGGGAGGGTGCATAAAACTCTAAGCACTTTTGCACAATCATACCTTCTCTCACTTCAGTTTGCTTCAAATGTGGTTCTGCCTAAAGGAAACAAGAATCTTCCAGAACTCTAATTCTTTTATAACATTTATTACACAAGTTAATACAGTTTAATACACTTTCAATGTATGCTTGAGTTGGACACAAGGAAAACTCTTTAAGTCTATCCAACATTTATTAAATGTTTGTTTGTTTTTGTAAGAGTTTTGACATAAAGCAACTTCCTTTCCCTTTCTGAGTTCAAAGATTTTTGAAGTGCTTCAAACTATGAATTTTCTGGAAATAATGTCTGAAATTCTAAATGAAAAGAAAACAATGTAATCTAATGTGCTTTACTGCAGAACTTTTAAAACCAGTGCAACGCCAAACAAGAAAATTATGTACGATGCACAACAGATCTAAAAGTCTGTATCAATTTCAAGAAGCTATGATTAAATACCTGGCAACTTATTATTATTTGGAGGAAACATGATGTTTCCCTCACACAACACTGAAACCCTGACATTTCTCTCTGTTATTTCAATGTGATTTGAACATGTTTCTTTTCTCTTTAAACAGGTCATCTACATCCATAGATACTATGCTTTGGATAAAATTATATACTAATATTTGCCTTTTTAAAAGTAATTATAAAAGAGCTGGCATACTTCTGAGAAAAAATATGTGTACCTGATCTATGAGTATTCACTACATAAAATGAAAACACCCTGATGTGATTCCAACCCTTGACAGTGTATTTATATTTATAAATATATAAGTATATTTTAAATATATATGATTATTTGTAACATGTGATATGAAATATATATTATATGTGTTATATGTAATACATGTAAAACATATATGTATACATTACATGTAATTATGTATGTAAACATTTGTTATATTAAATATTATCATTCTACAATATTATTTTTAATATTTTAATCATTGTTATCCTTTTCTCTCTGTAGTACCTACCATATGCCCATTCAGGTTACATATTTGAGAAATAATTACATTTGCAAAATATGAAATGCTTTAAGATTTATTCATGGTGTTATCTGAATTCTATGTTTAATTTAAAACTCAACTCACAAGATGATGAAAAGAGAAATAAAAAATACACTGTTTCCAATTGAAAACATCCTTCTATTATGGTACCTTTAAAAGAGTTTTCCAACTTCTGTTACAACCTGGTGAGCAAACTCTACCTGAGTAAGAATGTGGGATAAAAAAAGAAGCAAACTATTGGTACTAAATGTATAGAATAATACCTTATCCATCTCCTTTTTGAACCTTCTATTCAAACTTAGCTATTATCATAGCACTATGCATTATTCTTATTACTAGGTTTATAATGATAAACTGGTTTTGAATGTGAAGATATGCAATAATCTTATATTGTAATACACAGAGAGATAAATTAGGAATTAATCCATTCTTCCTTTCTTATTCACAACATCTTAAATATATTTGGTACTGTTATAAAAGTGTTAACTCAAGCTGTCATCATACAGTGATTAAAGCTGTATTTAAAGCTCTCTCTGCACAGGAAGGCTAAAGTGGAATAAATGAGGAAATCCTCCTTTTAAAGAATATTTACGTAACTCCAAACAAATAGAGTGGACCTCTCTTCTTTTTCATTAAATAAACAATCTGCCTGGGAAAGCCACATGTCTTAGAGATTGCAGAAATAGTACCTTCTCTCTGTGAGCTCTGAAGGCAACAGGAAAAGAAAACAAATGAGAAGTAAGCATTAACGTCTGGCAGGAAAATTATGCATCCGGATTTAAAACTGCATGAAGGACAAAGATAGCAAGAAGATAGTAACAGAGAACTATTTTAGCTGAGAACAATGGATTATTTTACATTTTAAACAGCCTCCACAGAAAGGACCCAGCATTCCAAATACCAAACACATTTTGCTTAAAGGAGATTAACTTTAAAAAAACAAAAAAGAAAGAAAGAAAGAAAGAAAAAGAAAAACATCAAACAGGTGTACTTTCAGAGGGTAGACAACATTTAACTTTCATAACTATCATCATATAAAAATAGATAAATTGGCTAATTAACATGCATATCATAGGCAATAAAACATTTATAAGTTTATTTTCTCTAGTGTTTTAGAGGAGTACATATACATGTACTCTTCTAATATTTTACATTAGATCTATTTCAATATATGTTCCATCCCTTTGACATATATGGAAGATCAGGAATGAGTGACATTCAAAATACGCAACTATTGGTATGCCTTGGACATCAAGAAATCAGAACACCAGCCATAAACCTAAGCAAAGCTACCTGTGTGAAGTGAATCATTTTCAAAATCAAAAGAAAAAAGAATTCCTATAAGCTGCTTAAGATAGTCCAGTTTTTGAATGAAAAGTTAGAGATCCAGAATTACCCTTGGGTTGTGATATTGTATCCACTACTAGATTTCACAGGGTTAGGAGTAAAATTCAAAAACTGAGTAAAAAAAGAATTATTCCCTAAAAAGTTACTGTTCCCAAAAAGTACTTTGGAACTTACTGTTCCCAGATAGTATAATACAGAGAAAGAGGTAAGATAACAGGGTATCCGAAAATATACTTTAAACTTTTTTATAACTGTAAATGCCATAGGAATGTACAATTTTATGGTACACAGACACAGAATTTTGTGTTTAACTGTGGGATAACGTTTAATTCCATATATGTCCAGGGAAAAATGACAAAGATTGTAAAGAGACTTGAAACCATGTGATGAACAAACTATACATATCTGTAATGAAAACAAGACTATTTGGGCAAAATACTCTGGTTGCTTTGAAATGTTTGAAGGAATCACATGAGAAGGAGGGACTGTTCAAAAAAAAAACAGTTTTTTTGTTTTTTTTTTTTAATGTCATACCAAGGGATAGAATTAGAACAGGAGGGCATTTTCTACTTAGTAAAAACTTCGCTGCTCAGCATAACAACTTCATAACGGTTCGAGTTGTTCAATAAAAGAACAGGTTCCCTGGTGTTGGCAGTGAGATTTAAATTACTGAAGATGTTAAAGAAAACCTGGTTAGTAATAATGGGGGTTGCCCCCTACCCCCAAGGGATTCAAACACTGGAAGAGGCATCTTACAAGGTGATCGCATCAGGATGGTGATGGTTTGTTGCACTAAGATTCCTTACTGCATTAAGACTAGTTGATTAAATAGAAGTGGAGTCTCCTTGTAGTTAAATTTAGCTCAACTTATTCAGAGGAGTAAGCTGGAAGCAGCCCTGAAACTGCAGCTAGTTGATTGGCCTGCCATCAACCCCTCCTAATGCGTGTCTCCTAATGAAGGCCTCTTGCAATATTCAGCACTGCATCTGAGAAACCAGCAGAGCCTGTTAGTTCTTTTCTTTGCATTCCTGTTTAGCTTGTAGCTACACCCATGTAACCATTTTCTGAGCATCCTGCAGAGCCTGTTTAGGCTATTGCTAAACAAGAAACAAGAACACCATAATGAAGTAACAAACAGGAGTTTCATGACAATTTTTCCATACTATGAAATAGGTTATTATAAGAAACTTACTTATAAATCCCTCAGAATTATCTTGATAGGTGCCAGAAGAAAGGACAGGATATGATTTTAGATTTGGATTTTGATGCTTTGAGGCAATTAGCTTATACAGTCTGCTTGGGAGTCTCCAGAGTACAGATTTGGTGGGATATTGGAAGTTTCTGAGCCGTTATATTCATTTTCTTCTTCCTTATTACTGAAAGCATACGCTGGTATGTGCCTATGCTTGTCTACTTGTTTCAGAAGCCGTTCCTTTGTGCCTGCTTGCCTTGGTCCCAGGGCACAGTAAAGAGGAACCTGAGTTGAACGACGAAATTAGAACAGTAAGATCAGGTCTGAGGTAAACATTGTAGACGTAACCCACAATAACAAAAGTTCTTTGAAGTCCTTCGTAGTTTTTAAGAGGGTAAAAGAGTTTTGAAACCAGAAATATGAGATTTGCTACTTTTTAAATTTTATTTTTATTTATTTATTTTTATTTATTTTTTTTTTTTGAGAAGTCTCACTTTGTCACCCACACACAGTGGCACAATCTCAGCTCACTGCAACCCCTGCCTCATAGGCTCAAGCAATCCTCCCACCTCAGTCTCCCGAGTAACTGGGACTACAGGCACCACCATTATGCCTGGCTATTTTTTTTTTATTTTTGGTAGAGACAAGGTTTCACCATGTTGGCCAGGCTGGTCTGGAACTCATGGCCTCAAGAGATCTGCCTGCTTCGGCCTCCCAAAGTGTTGAGAATAGAGGTGTGAGCCACCATGCCCAACCCGGAAAACATTTCTATACACTCTCTTTCTCCACAACAGTGCATAGCTGGTTTCTGGCCTATATCTTAAATGCTTCAAATTATATTCTTTTGTCTATTCCCTGTGCAAGAATATCTCCTTGAACTAGTATACTCTCATTATAGAAAACTCAGAAAACATTAAGGCATAAAGAAAATAAGAATCACTTCAAACCAAGAAATATGTATCCCTCCATCAACTTTTTTCATAGTACTTTTTCCATATTGCCATGACAGAAATTATCGCTTTTCATAAAACAATTTAAAATGGTCTGTTTCCTCAAGTAGATTCTAACCCTTTAATAAGGACAGGAAGTTCCTCTTCTTGGTATCTCTAGACATTGCCTGCTCCGATTTGTTGAACAATTATCACCAATGTAAATGTAACCCCGCTTTTCAGAGCAAATAATGGCCATGTAATGTACAACAACTGGGCCAAAAATAAATAAATAAATGTTGTCAGTTGAATTGTGTTCCTTTCACCCCCAAAAATATGTTTGAGGTTCTAACTTGCAGTATCTATGGTTATGTTTTTAAGAAATAAGGTCATTGCAAATGTAACTAGCTAAGCTTAGATGAGTTCATACTGCAGTAGGGTGGGCTTCTAATCCAATGTGATCATTGTCCTTATAAGAAGATGGCCATGTGAAGACAATGCAGGGAGAATGCCATGTGGTCTCAAAGGTAGAGACTGGAGTTATGCAGTTGTAAGTCAAGGACCACCAAAAGTTGTCAGCAAACCAATGGAAGTTAGGGGAGTTAAGAAAGGATTTATTACAGGTTTCAGAGGGAATGTGGTCCTACTGAGAACTTGATTTCAGACTTGTAACCATCAGAACTGTGAGACAATAAAATTCAGTTATTTCAAGCTTCCCAATTTATGGCAGTTTATTAGTACAGCCCTAGCAAACTAACATAATAGGCTATTATTATTAATCACTCTTTCTTACAGCTTATGGCCAACATCAGGATTTCCCTCATTTTATCAGCTTACCAGCATCAGAATAAGGAAAGAAACCTATCAGATTTTTTTCCTTGTTTCCTTCTTTCTATCCTTCTGTGGTTGATTGAGCTCTAGAAACATGTGTTATTAATGGCAGGTGCACAGAATTTGAAGCTTGCACGTCTCATGTCTGAGGTAGACAAAATTTTATCTTAATATCCACAAGATAGTACTTTCATGAGACTGAGAGAAGGAAACTGGCCAATGGCTTTTACATGCTCATTCATTTCCTAGTACATATTTATAAATACAATGCTCTATGAATAGTATATTTTATCCACATTGCTTCCAACCTTCTTTTCAAAGGCAGAAAATTTAAGTGCCTGAAAAGTCCTAGGTGAATCTTTAAAAAGAGGTACAAGTTATTCCCTAAACACCTTGAAAAGAGTTAGAATGAGTTAGAATGGTCCCTAAGCAAAGGAACTCTAATTGAGAGAATCTATAAATATATGTATTCTTTCTTAATGTCTATATGCAAATATCTTATAATAAAAGATAATAAAACCTTTGGCATAATGTACGTAAGAGTTGAGCACAAAAATGTATCAATATTCCCTCTTCCCATAAAAAGGAAAAATATTAGATGGCTAGTAAGTAGAGGACTTGAGCTCTCCCCTTCCACACACCTAATTCCAAAGAACACTTAATTTTTGACCTTCTATTTAGGTTTCTGACGTATTCATGATGACTTTGCATCTTTACAGACACACTCCAAACAAGGCAGGATTTAATTTGAGATCTATCCACAGGATGCCACAACATTTCTAATTTTAATAAAACCAAACACAGCAAAAACCTGCTTGGGGGCCAGGTGTGGTGGCTCACGCCTGTAATCCCAGCACTTTGGGAGGCCAAGGGGGTGAACTGCTTGAGCCTGGGAGTTGGAGACCAGTCTGGTTATTATAATTAGTATGGAAAAACCCCATCTCTAAAAAAAAAAAATACAAAAATTAGCTGGGTGTGGTGATGCAACACCTGTGGTCCTAGCTACTTGGGAAACTGTGACGGAAGAATCACCTGAGTCTGCATGGTAGAGGTTGCAGTGAGCCAAGACAGCGCCACTGCACTCCAACTTTGGTGACAAAGAGAGATCCCATCTCAAAAAGAAAATCCTAAAAAACAAAACAAAACAAAAAAAGAAAAGAAAACCTGTTGGACTTCTGCAGAAATTATTTTTTAATGTGTAGATATTTTCAAAATCAAGAGCTAATGTTTTATTGATTTTATATTGATGTTGTATATTTAAGTAATATTATTTCCAAGATACTGTAATTAATTAACCTTGACTACATGATATCTTTTAAAGGTACGAAGTTACCCAGAGTAACAGAAAAAATTTCCCTTTGCTTTCCATGCACTCTAGACACAAGATATTTTTTAACTATTTCTAATCAGAGACTGAAAGAACTGATTTTCATATCCAACAAAAGACATGACATAAAAAGTACATCAATTAATTATTGGAATTTACAAAATAAAACTAAATGGCATGACAAGAATAAATTTTTAAAAACTTGTATACAGAACCTTTAAATATTTTTTCTTTTTATTTGTGGACAGTTTTTACTGACTGCATAAGACATCAATATGGATGCAATCTACCTGCTAAAACCGTGGAACTAAAAATATTAGCTGACTTACAAAATAGTGAAATCTTTATTTGCAAAACATTTAAAAAGCAAATGACTTGGAGATAGGGGGATAAAAGTAATGCCACCTAATACATAACCTTTTCTCCCAATTTAATGATTTACTTTTGTAAATCACAAGTTACTACGTCATACATTACACTATAGGGCATAACCCAGGTACAAAGGTAGCTTTGAATAGTAATTAACTTCCCTTATTTACAGTTTAAAAATATTTACTTCTGATCCAACTTGTTTATAATTTAAGATCAATTCAAGTGTATTTCTTTAAGAAGCATTCTTCAATGGTTTATTGGGAAACTCAGAAAATAGGGAACAGGGAAACTGGGGACTCAGAACAAAGATATGCAAATGGCTCAGGAACTAAGTTTTCAGTAAATGTTGCTGCTGCTCACTCTTTGGGTTTGCACCGCCTTTGTGAGCTGTAACACTCACCGCGAAGGTCTGCACCTTCACTCCTGAAGTCAGCGAGACCACGAACCTACCAGAAGGAAGAAACTCCAGACAGAAGAAACTCCAGACACGTCTGAACATCTGAAGGAACAAACTCCAGACACACCATCTTTTTAAGAACTGTAACTCTCACCACGAGGGCCCATGGCTTCATTCTTGAAATCAGCAAGACCAAGAACCCACCAATTCCGGACACACTACTACTGGTTATAACTCAGTGTTTCCATCACATGAGAGAACCCCATAACAGCTACACTTTTGATTCAGAACAGCACCTAATTACAGCTGAATGCTACTAACTGAAAGGTCCAGAACTGTCTCTACAGTCACTTAGGTCATCCCAAGACCTTTGCAGTTTGCAAGGTCATCGCATAAAAATGTATTTTTGAAAAAGGTTCATAACAAGTGCCAGGATATTGTTTCTCACAGCAGGAATCATGGAAAAATGTCCACTCTTCTATATCAAGGAAGCTTCTTGCTGGTGAGATTTAGCAATGGGTACATTGATTTCACCTCAAGGTAATTAGTGTCACTTTTTGGATCCCTAAACCTTAGACAAAAAATACATTTATCCACTGGCTAAGTAATTTTTCAAGAGAGTGATTAATGAAGAAATTATGCAAAACACCTGACCAGTATTCCTCAAAAGTGTCCAGGACATAAAAAACAAGGGAAGTTTTACATGTTATCACAGCTAAGAGGAGTCTAAATGTGACAACTAAATGTATTACCTTGGATGGGATCTTGGAATAGAAAAAGGACATTAAGTAAAACCTAAGGAAATGTGAATAACATATGAACTTCATTAATAATAGTGGGTGAATACTGGTACAATAATTATAACAAATATATCATACTAATTATAACAAATAAGATGTTAATAGCAGGGAAACTGAGTGCCAAGTATGTGGAAACTCTGTTATCATAATCTTTCTGTAAAAAATCTAACACTATTTTTAAAAATTACACTTATTTTTAAAATTGTTCAACTGTTTACATACATATAAAACACTTAGCAAATTATGTACCTGAAATCTTACTTATATGAAGTTTTGTGTCCGTAGTTGGTTCTTTCTGGTGGATTTGTGGTCTTGCTAATTTCAAGAATGGAGCCGCAAACCTTGGCGGTGAGTTTTACAGCTCTTAAAGATGGCACAGATCCAAAGAGTGAGCAGCAGCAAGATTTATTGTGAAAACCAAAAGAACAAAGCTTCCACAGTGTGGAAGGGGACCCAAGGGGGTTGCCCCTGCTGGCTGGGGTGGCCAACTTTTGTTCCCTTATTTGTACCTGCCCACGTCCTGCTGGTTGGTCCATTTTATAGACTGATGATTGGTCCATTTTACAGAGTGTTGATTGGTGCATTTTACAATCCTCTTGTAAGAAGGAAAAGTTCTCCAAGTACCCACT